GGGAAGGGTAAAAGGGAGAGGCGGGGGGGAACGATGGGGGGGGGAAATACTTATCAATACAGAGTACTCCGTAAGGTACCCCTGGTAGGACAAGCTAAGGTAGAGTACCTACCTAGTCAATGATGCTGATGATGACGATCAATTGATTGTCTTAATCCCATACATGCATCTACATCGAGGTTAGGTTACTGGAGACATTGTCGTCATTGTATTATGATCTATCGATGAGTTAATTCCCGTCATCTGGCGATGGTCGTATTGAGACGGGACTGATATCCTACAGCGTCATCACCAATATATATTCGATTCAAGTGTTTCTTTGACCTCATCCCAAACCTCAATGTTCTAGATCTCGATCTCAATTCTCGACTTGGTTGCAGTTTTAAAAATAACAGCGCGTAAAGAGACAGATAGGTGATGGTAGATACCCGTCTCCCACGCAACCCAGAAACCACATGTGGACGCCAAGGCAAGGCTTCATCTGGGCGATCTTCTGGTTCGCGGGGGTGGCTCCTGTCAGTCAATGCCAATGGTGGTAGATCTACTTCCCCTCGCCGTAGTCAATAATCTTCTGTATCTTCTATCGAGATATGTACCATCGATTTATCTATCATTGTACAACTACGTGCAATCCGTCAGTCCTCCGTATATTTGATCAATCTTGCTTTGTCGCATCGGTTCTCATGGCTTCTCTTCTCGGTCTTATTATTAAGGTTTATTATTCCTATTATGGCTCTGATGGACCTGACTAAAAATTCCGACGCAAAGGCTACCTCTAGGCCACCATCCCGTCATTTGCCGTCATCCCCCTTAACCTTGAACTTCTTAAGTTCTGCAGACACGTGTAGTTTTATCTGTCGCTATTGTGTCAAGAAATCCCAAAGCCTCCTCGTATCCTGCCGTTTCCCCTCCAATAATTTCTTTGCGTCGTCCCGGTGGATGCGCATTTGTCTACAGCAAACAACCGCAATCGGGCAGGTTCGGGCATTCTTCCCGCAGGTCCTCAGCTTGATCCCGACGTACTTATATCGACAATTCTGGATTCGTCTGTGAGATAAATCACTTTCGACATCCAAGCACGAGCATCAAGTATACTTAATCTTGCTTTGACAATTTGCCTGCGGCCTGCACCACGACCCGCACCACGACCCAGCAATGAATTGTCCGTCACGAACCGACGACACTCTTGAGCATCCGGGCTGGAACCAGAATCCTCCCGCATTGAATGCAGATATAACTACTCGAAATGATTTCAACGGCATTGCCAACTCCAAGATACACCGGAAGCATGCGTCGGGAATGGGAGGAGTCTCCGGAGAAGGCGTCATGGGAACAGACTCCCAGCTACATGGTCAAGACAGTCACGAACCCGAGATCGTGGAGACGAAGACGCCGGGCGGAGTGATTGCTGCTGCCTCTGGGTACGAAAATCCCCAGAGTAACAGCGGATCACTCCGCCATCCTTCAAATTTCGCATCAAAGATCACCTCCCTTATCCTCCATTTCGCGCAGAGTCTTGTCAAGTTTGCCCGCTTCGTGGGCCCCGGGTTCTTGATTGCTGTTGCTTACATTGATCCCGGAAATTATGCCACCGATGTAGCTGGTGGTGCAGAATTCCGATATGCGCTGCTTTTCATTGTCCTTCTTTCCAATATCTTCGCCATTTTCCTGCAGTCATTGTGTATCAAGCTTGGAAGTGTGACCGGTCTCAACCTGGCGGAGAATTGCAGGGAACATCTTCCTAAATGGTTGGTATTCATTCTGTATTTTTTGTCAGAAGCCGCTATTGTCGCGACTGACATTGCCGAGGTATGGCCTGCCTACTCGACTGTACGTCCCCTCTCCAGTCCCTGACTGATCTTATGCCTAGGTCGTGGGTTCAGCTATCGCTCTCAACCTCCTTTTTAAAATTCCACTGGTCGCTGGATGTGCGATCACACTCGCCGATGTTCTCGTTCTCCTCATTTTCTATAGACCCGACGGGTCTATGTTGGGGCTACGACTTTTTGAATTTTTTGTTATGGCATTGGTCCTGGGGGTGGTGATATGCTTCTGCATACAGCTTTCTCTCATCAAAGAACAATCCATTCGCGATGTGTTCAGAGGCTATGTACCATCTGCCGCCATAGTACAGTCCAACGGGTGAGTGGATCCCGGCGCAAACTATGTTAAGGTCTAAGGCACTGACTGAAGTTCGTCCTATCTAGTTTGTATCAGAGCTGCGGTATTCTTGGTGCTACGGTCATGCCTCACTCTATATTCCTTGGTAGTGGTGTTGTCCAGCCGCGCTTGAAGGAATTCGATGTCACAAAGGGATATGTGGACCCGACCGTCTGTCTTGGAAGCAGTGGCGGAGAGGTCGAGTACAGGCCATCTATTCACGCCATCCGAGGCTGCATGAAGTACTCGATCATAGAGTTGTCGCTCTCGCTTTTTACCTTTGCTCTTTTTGTCAACAGTTCCATCCTGATCGTTGCCGGTGCCTCCCTATACGGGACTTCCGGCGCTGACAACGCTGACCTTTTTGGAATCCACGACCTACTATCCAGCTCCATAGCTCCGGCTGCCGGCTTGATCTTTGCGCTGGCACTGCTCCTGTCGGGCATTTCCGCGGGGATCGTGTGCACTATGGCGGGTCAAATGGTGAGCGAGGGGATGTTGAAATGGACCATCAAGCCCTGGCTTCGCAGACTCATTACTCGATCCATCAGCATCATTCCCAGTATCATCATCGCAGCAGCTGTGGGAAAAGACGGGCTAAACCAGACCCTTACCGCCACTCAAGTAGTACTGAGCGTAATTCTACCGTTCGTCACGGCGCCGTTGATCTATTTCACCTGCCGCAACCGTTATATGACCGTGCCGGCTGATCGCGTTGGCGGAGACGAGGCGGATATTCCGGTCGAAGGAGTCAAAATGCGAAATAACTATCTGGTTTCTGCGATAGGCGTACTAATCTGGGCGGTGATTGCGGTGATGAACGTGGCTTTGCTGGTTCTGGTCGGATTGGGCAAGGCCTGATACACAATTTGTCGTTGCCTCGACATTCTTGACATTGGACTTGACATTGGACTTGACGTTGGACTTGACGTTGGACTTGACATTAGATTTAGAACTAGACGCAGATTTCGGGATATCATCACAAGTGTTATGGAATAGAGAGATAACTTCCAGAGGAGCGCAATCAAGAGAGTCTCGTGGAGCAGATACGAAAAAATGAAATCAATAATCCCAAAACGCCAGTGCTTTCATGCTCCAGAACATCAACCGTCAATCCACTCATGTATTAGCCCAGACCGCCAGCAGGCTCCTTGACCTTGGCTTGTTCCGGAGGCTCGTCGATAAATTGCGGCGGTGCCACCTCGTCCTGCATAAAGCTAGGCATGGCACTCTCGCCCATCGCACTCTCAAACATGGACTCCTCACCCAGCGCCTCCAACTCCGCATCGAGCTCCGCCTCATCCACATCCTCGGGGATATCATACGCCCGCGAAATACTCTCCTGGATCTCATTGCCGATATCCATCAAATCGGCCATCTCATCCTGCATACGCTCGATCTTGTCCACGTCCACCTTGCCATACTGCTTCTTCAGCTCCTTAGTCGTCGTCTTCATCGCGTCAACGGTCGTCATCACGTTCTTCAAGTTATCCTGCATCATCCCTGCCTGTTCCATGTTCCAGGATTGCTGGGATAGCTGGTCCCGTTGGGCCTCGTACTGTTTCCGGCGCTGCAGGACCTTGAGTGCCTTCTGGCGAAGGGCGTTCTTGCCTGGTCCGTCGCGCATCTTGGCAATTTTGGCTTGGTAGGTTGAGAGCTCGGCGTTGAGGGAGGCTAGTTTGACGTCGATGCTCGCGACGCGGTTGTCCACCTGTGTGACGGCGGGGTGTTAGATCATGCGGGGGAGAGCTAGAGAGGGTAGTTTAAGAGAGTCGGGAGGGAACGTACTTTGGAGATCGCATCGTCAAGTGTTGGCTTGGGAGCCGTATTTTTCGTTCCGAACAGTCGGTTCATCTTTCTTGAGGTTGAGTGTCAAGTATGAGATAAAGTGGTGAGTACCATGCGGAGTATCTGGTCAGAGTCAAAGAGGAACAGGGACCAGGGCCAGTTAGTAGATAGTGGGTGGTGGTTGCCGCCTAAGAATGCGGGAAGATGCCCCAGGCTAGCAACGGAGATTGTACAGAAGTCTTGGAACTGTCAACACCTAAGTAGAATTCAACAGAGAATATTGTGTGGTATACTAATTGGTCTATTAGAACAGAGTCTCCGTCATGAGTATGGTTGCCTGAATCCGGTATACACCGATCAATGCTATAGGCACGTGATGGAATCATCATCAGTCCGTCAGATCCCATAACCAATAAGGCTACGTACTCTCGGAGACCAACATCCAGGAACTCTTCCATTAACCTACAAGATAGCCATCATCTGACGGCAATGTAAGCCATGCACTCCAATCAGAATAGCATCATCATCATCCTAGCTAAAGAGTTTCTCTTATCACCTGGCATTTCGTAATAATGGGCAGCTTATGGCACGTGTGACCACGTTGATTATTGCCTGTGTGGGTGGATGATCCCCTTTAAAGTCCTCAGCTTCTTGTCCATCAACCTCAGTTGGACGTAATCACGGAGACCTGCTGGACTCTGAAGTATTTAACATTTATCAATCTGGTCCTCTCGCCATAGTCATACAAGACGCAGCTAGCAAGCGACAACCGAGTTCTGTGAGATCCTTCAGGTCGCAGCGTATCGGAAAGCACCGAATTTCCTCCATTGACAACAAAAGGAAGAGAAAGACCTAGTCGTGGCAAAATGTCATGAACATCGACTCATATACTACGGCGTACACCTGAATAGAAATATGAATGCATTCTTCTTATCATAAACTTTTATCCACTTCAAAGCCAACCTGAAACCATCTGTCGCATTTTCCAGCTCATCTTTTCTTCTCCCCCTCCCTCTCGCCTAGAGATCGCGTGGAATTTCCCCGCCGCCGCTTGTCGGGCTTGTTGGGTATTTCCGCTCAGCCTGGTTCATCAGTCTTCCAGGGATCAAAGTTGCCGGCCGATCCAGACGCAGCCGCCAGCGCAGCACGTCGACGTGATCCCTGAACGTCAGCTGTGACTCTGACCTCTATTGACCGTCTACATTTGTACACTACTGACGACCGACGGTTGATTCTCCTATCAACTTGACCGACTGGTCTCGCCTGTGCAACAGGTTCCTGTGCCTCGCAAGGAATCACGGACTCGATTAACTTACGCCGGTCTGTGTCCGTCCTGCAAAATCACTCCCACAAGGAGTCTGGCGCCGCCTTCTCTTTCTTCGTCACTCACTTATAATAAGGTCTTGAAGGTATGATACATTTCGCTCTTGTTCCATTATCCTGCTGAATCGCTATCTCATCTTTTACCTGGCGTATTGCCTCCTTCCCGCCAGCCTCCCCCTGCTGCTATCCCTTAGTGTACCTTGCCCCTCTTCAGAATGACGCCTCTAAGGCTCCGAGAACTGGGCTACACCCTGATTCGCATCGTTTAACTGCTTGATCATGCTCTAGCTAGTAAATGATTGCTGACTTGCTCATTCCGACACGCAGCGCTTGGCCGCTCCGACCGTATTTATTTCGCAACTATTATCATCTCCTTCCCTTGAGACAACTTGAGCCTCACGAATCGAACTGTTTTGGAAACGTTTCTAATCTAGCAGGAATCACTTCCGTGCATTGAATCAAATCAGCAATTCTTACTCGTTGCGTTGTACCATATAGACGTCTCCGTTACGACTCTCGGAGCGGATCAAACCAAGAACAAAAGTGCTTGTGATACCTTGCCTGTTTTCCATGACGATTTTCTCTCAGATCTATAGTTCAAGATGTTTTGGCGCTTCGGGGGATACGCGAGTGTCTCCACCATTGATACCCTGCTCGACAAGCCTGATGTCAGTCTCGAAGAGCTGTTGGACGAGTCAGAATTGATCCAGGAGCTCAAGCAACATAATACGAAGCTCATAGAATATCTACGAGAAGATAATGTCTTGAAACGCCTTATGGACTACGTGATTGCACCTAGCCTGGTGAACGAGGATGATGATGACGACGAGGACGATTCGAACGACTCTAATGCCCCTCAAACGAATAAAGATGCTGCAAGCGAAGGAGAGAGGAAAGTCGACCCGCTGAAGGAGATCTTGGATCCCGAAGATTTGGACAGAGCTGAGAAGAACCGTTTGAAGCATGCGTACGTCGCGTGCGAAATTCTCTCATCTGAAACATGGTCGATATTGGAGTCGATAATGGTGAACACAAGCTACCTGCGCGACTTTTGGGGCTTTGTGAGGAGACCACCGTCGTTGGATCCTATTCAGGCGGGTTATTTTACGAAAGTCAACGAAACGTTGTTTGATCGAAAGACCAGCGAGATGCTGGAGTTCTTCAAGTCTCTGGACGGAATTGTTCCAGCGATCCTTCAGCATGTCGACAATCCCATGGTTATGGACCTCTTGTTGAAGATAATCAGTCTGGAGAAGGCCGAAGGAGGCCAGGGAATCGTGGATGTGTGTTCATCAGAAGATAGTCCCCTGCTTTTTTATGGTCTAGACTGACACCCATCGCAGTGGCTGAAATCACAGAACCTGATTCCTCTTCTTCTGTCCTTTTTAACTCCAGAGCATCCGGCCTCCGTGCAAACCTCTGCAGGAGATTTTCTCAAGGCCATCATCACTATTTCGGCAAATGCGACTCAGAATGATCAATCCTGCATTGGACCCAATAGTCTCACTCGCCAGCTCGTCTCCGCGCAGTGCGTAGAGACCCTAATCAAGACCATGTTGCAAGGTGGAAACCCGTTGACAGTGGGCGTTGGTATCGTAATTGAAGTTATTCGGAAAAATAACTCTGATTACGACCCAGAGACCATCGGTGGCCCTGATTCGCCTCCAACGACATACGACCCTATTTATTTGGGCAACCTGCTACGGCTTTTTGCCAAACATATACCAGATTTTATGGCGCTGATTCGAAGCTCCAAGCATACGATCAATGACAATGGAAAAGTACGAAGCGTGGAGAGAGGACAGCTGAACTCCGCTTGGGGTGCTAAAATTGAGCCTCTTGGCTTTGACCGTTTCAAGACATGCGAATTAATGGCAGAGCTGTTGCACTGCAGTAACATGGGTCTTCTGAACGAACCCGGAAGTGATGAGTACGTCCGCCAACGCGATGCTGAACGAGAGAGACTTTTTCGCGAAGGCGCCTTCAATCCGCACAAAGAGGAGTCGTCTGCTCTCGAAGGCAACGATTCTACCGCAGACTTTATCAATGATTCTGTTATCGGCTCCGGTTCCCCTGAGGATTCTCGAGTCCTTGAAGTTTCGAACGCTGGTGAGGATGGGTTCGAGGATGTCGATTCTTCAGGCGTCCTGGTCGACAAGGAGAAACTTGCCGAGGGTAAGGAGTCTGGGAGTCGGCCGACCGAGCCGGAAGTTGGTGGTGCACCGAGAACATCAGCCACGACGAACGACACAGAAAGAGATCCTGGCAAAGTCGATGATCCTGCCGAAGCTGAGAATGGCACAGAAGAAGGAAACAGCTCCGACATGAAACTCCCGCCTACGGTGTCGGACCTTACAGACCAACTCAATGCGATGGATTTGGGAGACAAACGGGCCTCCGAGGAAACCACGGCCAAGGATGGTGTCGGAGAGTCTGAGACTTTCCCCCCCAATGACTCGGATTCGCCCTCTGCTGCACAAATGTCGCCGAACTCCGAAGCGGTACCAGCACCCCTGTTCTCCACACAACAACACGGAAAGGAATCAGTAGCTTCAACCCCTGATACTGCTGGCCAGGTCGGGAATGCTCAAGGTTCCTCAGACCCTCGATTAGACTCGATGCCCTCAAACACCGACGCCGAAGACTTGCGGGCGCACATCAATCCCTACGTTCAGCTCGATCCGAACGGCCAACCTGTCGTTGGTGATTACCTCAAAATTATGTTTGTGAAGGATAGGGTTGTACCCACGATACTGGTAAATTATCCCGCGCGACATATTCATTGTGCCGGAATCTGACCCCTGCGTATCCTAGGATTTCTTCTTCCGCTTTTCATGGAACAATTTCCTTCACAACGTTGTGTATGATGTTGTTCAGCAGGTTTTTAATGGACCTATGGAGCGCGGATACAATAGATCTCTAGCAATCGATCTTTTCGAGACAGGCCGCATTACGCAGGCGATTGTTGACGGACAAAAACGCAGCGATGAAGCGCAGCGGACGCAACGTATCAGACTTGGCTATATGGGTCATCTTACCCTCATTGCGGAAGAAGTTGTCAAGTTCAGCGAGCGTCATCCACCCGAGCTTCTTTCTCCTACAGTGATGGAAAGCGTCTTGAACCCGGAGTGGATCGATTACGTAGAGCAAACTCTTTCCGAGACGCGAGAGCGAGATAATGCAATCCTCGGTGGTGTACGACCAGACATGGCTATCGGGCACCGTCAGGGTCCACTCAATCAAGGTCAAAGCATGAACGCTTCTTCAGCACTAGCCGAGGCTGGCTTGAATGGTGGCGTCAGCAATTCAGGTTTCCAAAACTTCGACATGAACCAGGGCAGCGTTTCTGGTGGTGCTTTCGGTCTTGGTGGCGGCGGCAGCTCTCTGCTGAGCGGCTTCGGAAGCTCCAGTGACGATGAGGATGAGGAAATGGAGGAACAAGACGACAGAAACCTGACTGAACAATCTGCCGAAGGTGGTTCTGAAAATGTGGGTGATGATTACTTTACTGACGTTGACATGAGCGATGCATGAGAGCTCGCCCTCGGCTTTTCTCCCAAATGACTCCGTCCCCCCCCGTTCTACTCCATTTTCACTTCCCCTCCCCGATCAACATTCTCTTGTCTCTCATCAAGCGGTCGATGAAGACTGGCGCCGCATAGGTGTTGATGATGAAGGAGATTTCAGGTCATTGGAGAACATAAGCATAGAGCGTGTATCTTCAGCGCTTCTTGTCCATGTACAAACCCATTTCGGGGGCCAATCCCCTGAGGTTCTGTGGCACGCATCTGAACGGGATGGTCTAGTCGGATATTTAGTCCTTTGGCTGCTCGCCCAGGCATTGATATACAAACTTCATGTCATGCATCTCTAGAGGATCAGCTGCATTTGAATGATGGCCGATGATGGGCTATGGACTTCTGGGTCTGTTCTCAATTTCTTGAGTCAGTCAGTTGCCTGGACACTGTTCTAGCCCGGATGATTTGACTCATGCAGACCCTCTTCCTCCCTCTCTTCATAGTTGCTCAATGCCTTTTGCTGTAATACAAGCCCTAGTACGTGCTGACGTCGTTATGAACTTAGGCATCTACGAACTCAACAAGTCAACCTATACCAATTCTTCCTCCACCTCCTGCACCTCTCAGCCTTGGACCGTCTCGCGCGCGACGGCAGCTGGCAGCACGACTTGCCGCACAGAAACAGCAAGCTGCTGAAAATGACGGCAATGAAGGCGAGGCTCAAAACCAAACAAACCAGCATGAGAATGGCGATGTTCAGTGGCCGTCTAACCCATTTGTAATTGCGGGATTGGACGATGACGGTGATGGTACGGACTCACCTTCCAGAGCCGCTTTTCCCTCCAGCGAATTTCCACATACGCGCAAGGACGAGCCTTTCTCATCGCCTGCTTTTCCCGAGTCTGGCTTCAGCCCACCCGATTTGATGTCCACTAATTCCTCCGATGATGACGCGGAAGGCAGGGTAGGCATGAGGCGCAAGGAACGTGTTCCCCTGGAAGTCGATGACGATGAGGATGACATGGGCGAGATGGTCGGTCCCTCACTTGGTTCTGAAATGCTCGACTCAGATGAAGAGGACGAAGCTATTATGAACGAATCTTTAGGATACCCCGATCTCGGACCTGGCCGCTACAGGAGCTTCCGAAGATCACAGTTCGGGCCGTCCCCTTTCGGGGACGACGATGACAATGACAGCAGTGACGGCGAAGATGATGGACTAGTCGAAATCTTAGTTCCTGGGAGAAAATCTTCCACCACTTGACTGCCATGGATGGATTTGCCCAAGATTGTCCCCCGGAATCTTATTCTTTGGGTCGTTTCTTACGGTGGTTTGCTCTGCATTTCATTTCCTGGCGGTGGTTGTGTTTGGCACTCTGGGACGCATGGACTATTTCCTTTCTCTTTTTCATGATGATGTACACTATCTAAATGTGCATGACCTTGTATACTGTTGAGAGCGGAATGGGGATGAAGATGTTGGCATTAAGATCACCTATAGGTGGCCGTGCGATATTCTGAATGGTGATATCTGCTTCTAGCAACTGACCAGCGTGGCGCCAAGCGCAACATTACTGGCGTTCTTTTCCTACTCAAATGCCTCCGTCTTGATTGATACAGCCTCCTGTCTTTTCTTTCTTCTCTCTGCAGGACTTTGTACGATAATCGAGCGAGATCAATTCATTATTTCTTTGCGTACTATATTGGCAAATGTTGTCCCTTTGTGATAAAAGACGATAAAGATGGGACCAAAAACTCAAAACCAACTTCCAAAATCATTATCCAAAGGTATGAACGTATTGTAGAGCAATCAATTCTCGCCGTCTGTCATGTTCATGCCTACAAGCTGTTGATGGCTTGACTTTGAGACGCCCAAGAAAAAAAGTGGGACACCGCATTCAATCATCCCAAAATTGCCCCTCCGAACAATTGTATGGGTTCTCCCTGTCCCATGTCCACGTCGCTACAATCTTAGTCTTCCCCTTGAGAACAGCTACGAGGGTCGTCTAGTCTGATAGACTGGGAAAGAGTCGCTAGTTGGTTTGAACACCATGACGGACAGTGGTGATCCATCAGCGTCGCTGCCACCGGGGTAGGTTGAAAGCTCGGATTCTCTTCTGTTTTGCTATGGTTGTTCGTCTGTATGTTGCCTGAAATCATTCTCGCACAGAGTTTACCTCACATCTCCGTATACAATCCTATAACTTCTGTTTTAAGGGGAAGTAGGAAGCAGGATGTTTTCTATTGTTTGATTGTGCAATCTTGCCCTTTTGTGTTCGCATTTTGGTGAAACAAACCTTCCAAATCATCTCTCTTCGTTTCTCGTCCATATCGCCCAGACTTTGTCATTACGTCTAATGGATGTGTCTAGGGCAACTGGTGATGGGGACCTGGAGAAATGGGTCACACTCGTGGAATGGATGACCAGCAATGGCGGCTACCTGCACGAAAGTGTTCAGATCGCTAAAGACGAACAACGAGGTGTCCACTTCAATGTCAAGAAAGACTGGAAAAATGGCGTTGCAAAGGACACCCATCTCATCAAGATCCCAGTGGCTGCAACCATGTCATACCTTAACGTTGTCGAGCATCTTCTTCCCGCCGACAAGGAAGGCAATGGGACGGCCACCTTTTCTGCTCATGGGGTGCAGCTTCCGCGAGATTTCATCAATGCTGTTGGACCCCATGAGTCATCTATTTTCTACTTGATCGGTCAGTATCTGAGGGGCTCAGAAGGGTTTTGGTTCCCGTATATTCGAACGCTTCCTCAGCCACTCTCCCTGACTACGCCATTGTATTATGAGGGGGACGATCTGCGGTGGTTGGATGGGACGAGTCTGGCACCGGCTAGAGAGCAGAGAATGGGGGTATGGAAGGAGAAGTACGAGTATGGGATCACTGAGCTTCGGAAGTCCGGGTTCCATGATGTTGATCAGTATACATGGTATGTGGAGACCGTTGGACACTTCCCTTCTCTATGTTGATTCAACCTACTCGGCGTGCCCGGCAAAAGGGTACTAACGAAACCCACGATAGGGACCTCTACCTCTGGTCTTCGTCCATTCTCGTATCGCGGGCGTTTTCAGCCAAGGTGCTTGCTGAGGCAGTTACTGATGTGGAACTGCCTGAAGATGGCGTGTCAGTTCTCCTGCCCTGCATTGACTTGATGAACCATCGGCCTCTTGCAAAGGTAGAATGGCGTGCTGGTAAGCAAGATGTGGCCTTTGTGGTGCTGGAAGACGTTGCCTCCGGGCAGGAAATTTCAAATAATTACGGGCCTCGCAATAACGAACAGTGTAAGTCGCAAGTGGAATGGCCATATGTCAACCGATTGAAAAATAACTTCAACCCAGTGATGATGAACTATGGCTTCTGCCTTCCAGACAACCCATGCGACTATCGGATCGTCAGCTTGCGAGCACCTCCAGCCAGCCCGCTCGGCCAAGCCAGATCTTATCAGCAACAGATGTATCCCGAGCGAGCCAAAGTCACAGAGAATCATTACTACGTGTTCAATATCTTCTATCCTCTCCTCGCACCAGACACTGCCATGGAACATTCGATCTTCTCGCCAGCCCTTTTCAATGCCGTTTCCATACTTGCTGCGAATAACAGGGAGCTAGAGACCCTTGAAATTACCGAGCAGGACATTAAAATCTCAGATGCATATGGCAACTCGCGGACGGTTCTAGCCGCTCTCAGTCAGATAGCCATTGAATTGATTACACATATTGTGAAGTTGAGGTCTTCATCAGAAGGCCTGGGAAACCCCGAAAACATCAAACAGACACATGCGAAGATTTACCGTGACAGTCAGATCCGTTTGTCAGAGACAGCTCTCGTTATTGCCGCCTGGACGCTGAACCGCGCACGGCAGCATGATTACGATGGAACCTGGGAAGAAACTAAGCGTTTGCTTAGCGCTCATATGGCCCGTCTACCAGCGAAGAAATTCTCTGACGAGGTCAAGTCCCGTATACAAGTGAGAATCCTTGAACGGAAATCGCTCCTTGCGAATAACGGCGAGCTTTTCACCTTGAACGAGCTGTTCAGCATACTTCCCGCCGAGATGCAACAACCTTGCAAAGCTTTCTTCCAAGACGTCTTGAGAAACTCTGAAAAGGCACTACCCATGCTACGAGGAAGCGACGAGACTTCGCCTTTTGCCTTCCCAATGTTCTTGTGTTTTGTGATCGCCACTCACAGGAACAAATCGACTGATAAAACACAGCTTCCTGCCAGGCTGGCTAGATGGGCTAGCTTTCTTCTTGAGAAGTATCCACCGCCCCCAGAGGATGTGGCATGGATGCTGGAGGACGAAGATGATGAACAGATGGTAAGCGTGTTTGACGACATGCTGGATCAGATGAAAGATCGGGATCCGGATGTCCTTTCAAATCTGGTTTCGTTCACCGGAGAATGGAAAACAGATAATTGGTGGCTCTCTCCGAACTGGTTGCGATGGGCATGGATGGCTATAGAGCAGGAATGTGTGCAGGCGCCTGAAGATCCCTTGGCTATGTTACGAGCAGGAGGAACAGGTCAAGGCTCGGTGATGCTGTCTACGGTGTCTTATCTGTATATTCCGCAGTAGATCGTACTGAAAGCAGTGGACTCTATTCTGATCGATCTCCGAATGATCGTGCCAGATCGATAGCGTCATCGGAGACAGAAACAATCAATATTAATGCTGGAAATCTGACCCAATGCATACATGACTAAGCTTAATGCACGTGACTTTTGTGGACCAATCAGCGGGTTGCCAAAGGCGGATATTCAGCAAGCGCAGGAATTGCCGCGCCGTGAAGCTCAACGACGGTGATCATCCCCAATTGACCCTTCCACCTCTCTTTTCGAGACAATCCCTCTATTCCCCGTCAATTCCCAGCAACTGGGCCATCTACAACCATGATATCTCGAGCGGCGGCTCCCTCGCCTTCCTCAATCGCCAACCTCTCCTCCCGCTCTCTCCGCGTTCAGGGTTCGGCTGCCCGCTCCTTCGCCACTGTCCAGGACAACGCACCCCCCGTACGGCATCATGGCGGCCTGCGGGACCAGGACCGGATATTCACGAACCTCTACGGACATCATGGCGCTGATTTGAAGTCGGCAATGAAGTTTGGAGACTGGCACAGGACTAAGGACATTGTTTTGAAGGGCCATGACTGGGTACGCTTGTCCTTTGCACCCACCGAGGACGTTCTGTGGCCATGCACTCGTGTTGCCGGATACACTGGACTTCGAAGCTAATGTTATTGTGTTTGACTTCTCTGCAGCTGATTTCCGAGATCAAGGCCTCTGGTCTGCGTGGTCGTGGTGGTGCTGGTTTCCCCTCGGGTCTGAAATATGTAAGTCCTCCACCGGGCCAATATGGCGAGCCTCGGGAAAACAATTAATTTTGATCTGCAATTAGTCTTTCATGAACTTCAAAGACTGGGATAAGGACCCCAGACCCCGATACCTGGTTGTCAATGCCGACGAGGGTGAACCGGGCACATGCAAGGACCGTGAGATCATGCGCAAGGATCCCCACAAGCTGATTGAGGGTTGTCTCGTTGTCGGTCGTGCGATGAACGCCAACGCCGCCTACATTTACATTCGTGGTGAATTCTACCACGAAGCAACCGTCCTGCAGCGGGCCATCAACGAGGCCTACCAGGCTGGTCTCATCGGCAAGAACGCCTGCGGCACGGGCTACGACTTCGATGTTTACATCCACCGCGGAATGGGTGCCTATATCTGTGGCGAGGAGACCTCTCTCATCGAGTCGATCGAGGGCAAGGCCGGCAAGCCTCGTCTGAAGCCCCCATTCCCCGCCGCCGTCGGTCTGTTCGGCTGCCCCAGCACCGTCACCAATGTTGAGACCGTCGCCGTCTGTCCTACCATTATGCGTCGTGGAGCCAGCTGGTTCTCCTCGTTTGGTGCCGAGCGCAACGCTGGTACGAAGCTGTTCTGTATTTCTGGCCACGTCAACAACCCCTGCACGGTCGAGGAGGAGATGTCCATCCCTCTGCGTGAGCTGATCGACCGTCACTGCGGTGGTGTGCGTGGCGGTTGGGACAACCTCCTCGCCGTCATCCCCGGCGGTTCCTCCACCCCCGTCATCCCCAAGTCCGTCTGCGACAACCAGATCATGGACTTCGACTCCCTCAAGGACTCCCAGACCGGTCTGGGTACTGCCGCCGTCATCGTCATGGACAAGTCCACCGACATCGTTCGCGCTATCTCCCGTCTGTCCAAGTTCTACAAGCACGAGAGTTGCGGCCAGTGCACCCCCTGCCGCGAGGGAAGCAAGTGGACCGCACAGATGATGGAGCGCATGGAGAAGGGCCAGGCCCGCGAGCGCGAGATCGACATGCTCCAGGAACTCACCAAGCAGGTCGAGGGCCACACCATCTGCGCCCTGGGCGAGGCCTTCGCCTGGCCCATCCAGGGTCTCATCAGACACTTCCGTCCCGAGCTGGAGGCCAGAATCAAGGAGTACGAGCGCGAGCTGGGAGCGAAGCCCTTCGCTGGTGGCTGGCACCCGAACAGCAGGGCCGAGGGCAAGTTGATCTCCCCTGGCATGTAAAATTACCATAACCGTTCCATACCTTTTTATCTTGATCCCATCCCGCGACGATAAAATGGTTTCTCATTTCCCCCCTTTACTTTTCCCACAACCATAAACGGGATATAAAAAAGATATGGTAAACATCCTTTAGACTCTCCCGTCGCAAAGCCATGGAGTGATTTGTGTTTCGTGTCCGCGTATAACCTCTTATCTTATTTTCTCCTCCTTCTGCTCTGTTTATGTTTCAGTCATGTACAGTTTCCTGATAGCAATTTGAGTAATCTCATCTGTTAAAAGTATTTTGTGCCTTGTTAGCAACCATAATTAGGTAAGCGTTTAGTTTATGTAAGACTTGTGTCTAAGGAGGGAAGCCATACAGCAAGAGCTATGGAGTACTCCCATATTTTTGCTACCAGTGGATGCTTATGGCTGCAACGACCTTCAAATGGCTCTTCATTCTACTTAGTAAATGCTGCATAGCTAGCAAGAAAACCAATCAATCTTTCGAAGCAAATTAAATCATGTCATCGTGTCTGACAGGCAGAAAAAGCAACCATATTCGACCTCAGCCATCATGGCCATGTGATATTCACTGCTCCACCACCTTTTTCAGCTCAAAGTCGTTCCGCGTCAGCAAACGTCAACCAGAAAATCTCGATTTCAGTTTTCCGAATTCGGCTCGTTCTCATCTCGGTGTCCCTCCTTGTTCTCGCTTGCGGCCTTCTGAGCCTCCTTCTCCGCCCGTTTCTGATCCAGCTTGGTGAGTCTTGCCAGACGCCAGTTCATGCCGTGGTGGTACTCCACCCACAGCAGGCCTAGGCCAGCCAGCATCAACAACCCCCAGAAGACGAAGCACCAGCCCCAGCCCATGGAGCTGAGCATATGGTCAATCACAGCGGCACCTACGGCTCCCAGCCAGCACCGAACGAGGTTAGATGCTGCAGACGCGGTGGACGCTCGGTCTGGGAACAGATCCACCATGAGCGTGTTCAGCGTGTTGAGGGAGGCGATGAAGCTGAATCCGATGATGAATTGCAGGACAAGGGGTGCCGCCAGCGGTGCTCCCTGCTGAAGAACCCAGCCGTACGGAATGAAGGCAGCTACACCGAGAGTCATGAGGGGAAAGAAAGCCTGTAGACGGGCCTTCTCGATAGGGAAGCCCCGCAAATCGTCACCCTTCTTTCGATCCACTGGCATGCCTAGCTTATGAGCAATGCGGCGATAGTTGAAATCCAGCAGCTTGCCGTTGAGAATGGCTGCGATGCATGAACCCACTCCGAGGGGACTGTGATATTACGAGACAGATATGGTCAGCATATCTCTGGTCGTCTGACGAGCCATACCCAAGGGCGGATCAACAGTGAGCACTTACATGTAGCAAAGACCAATTTGAAGGTCATTGAAGCCATAGAGCTTGCCAAAGAGGTTGGGTGTGCTTGTCAAGAGCGCGGTGTTGGCCAACATGGCCAATCCGACATAGGAGATGACGATGATGGCATCTTTTTCCAGCAAGATCGCGAAAGCCTTGAGTGGATTCGGAAACGAAAGTTTCTTGTCTTCACGTGCTTGGTTGAGATTGGCTCTCTGCTCCTGATGAGCGAGGCGTTCTTCGCAAGTCATCTTCTTCAGTCGGCGACGTGCGGCCCAGTACTGAATGACAGACATCCTCCACCATTGCTTGGGAGGGACACTGCCATTCCCGACGATATTACGATTAGTCTCTGGCATCGTGATCGTGAACACCACCAGGTAGCCACCACTGATGATAACCAGGAACCAGAAAACACTTCTCCAGCCGAGGAACTTGGCCAAAATACCTCCAATGACAGGCCCGACAGCTGGTGCCACCATAACACCCGCAGACACAGGGCCAATGAAGCTCCCTCTCTCCGCCGCCGTTGCAATGTCCGCTACAACCCCATAGCCAAAGGAAATGGTGCCACTGCTACCGGCGCTTTGGATACAGCGAAGAACCATCAGCGCCGCGTAGCTATTCTGCAACGCGAGACCGATGTTAGCAGCCAGGTAGACAGCAAAAGCAAGAATGTATGCCGGACGACGACCTCCCGAGTCGGCAAAAGTGCCAATGAAGCTGGGAGCCAGACCCTGCAAGATCAGGTACGTGGTGATGGTGAGATTGATCAAGGCAGTATTAAGATGGTAGTTTTCGACAAGCGTCGGCATGACAGGGAAATAGATCTGGGCAGACAGAGGCGAGAAGAACGACGCCATGGAGATCATGAAGACGATGAAGCGCTTCTCATTCTGGCTAAAGGCCGAATGAGCTTCACCCTCGGTATCGCCGTTCGCCTGCAGGGTCGTGGCCTTCTGAGCTTCAAGAGCAGAAGGATCCGAGCCTTGAGACGCCTCTGCCGGCTTGTCGACATGGTACTGAATCACATTTTCGCCGTCGTTGGAAGAAGAGGAGGGCGCGACTCTCTCCTCCTGGTCTTCGCGCAATCCGCCAGACATTGTCGATGAATTCGATACTCCTGCGATGGCTACAAGATAGAGCTTAGCCCCTCGGAAGGAAACACAGACACCGAGCCTGGCAGGACAAGGGTACGTACATCTGCTTCGCTGTATTGCGTTACTTCCCGGTCTTTCCCTCCTCTGCTTCCTTGCCCCTTCTTGAAAGCAGCAAGGATAGATCTGCCCTCAGTGACTGTGGTCTCGGTAAGAGAAAGCCGGACACTTGTATATGTTGGCAATTTCGACTGATTAATCGTCTTGCGTTCTTGAAGTGCGTATCCAGGTCGCTGACTGGCAAAGGAGACAAACGGCGATCCAGCTAGCTAGGCACAGCACAGTGAGGAAGGGCTTTGGGCAAGAAGACAAGACAAGACCAGAAGTGAGAGAGGCTGAGGTCTTCTCCCAGTCGAAGCTCTGTGTTGCCTTTGCACAACGGGGGTGCCGGTATCACTGGCCAGAACCCCAATCAAGACGAAAGCCGGAACCGGGCCTGAAGCCTGAACCGGGGGTCGTCCACCGCTCTTTCCTCTTTTCTCTTTTTCATAATGAGCACAGAATGACGACCAGATCAGGCAGGCACTATTCATTACTACCTGAGGCATCTATCGAGGCATCTATCGAGGCATCTATCCTACACTAGAAACAACATGCTTGATTAGATCCCGAGTAAAACCGGCTGGTGAGATACACGCAAAAGGGCAAGGAGAACACGACTTCGTAAAACTGACTCAGTTCCCCTTCTGGATGACAGGTTGCATGCTCTCTTTGAATCCAAGCAATAGCGTAGAGAACCCCTTCGAAGCCAGAGCTGCCGTAGCAACAGCTGGCACATCCAAGAAAGCAATGATGAGTGAGGAGAACAAAAGTACAAATGCTGAGATCACATGTCGTCAAAGCCACCTCAATGGGCACAAATGCACACATATCTTTCATAATACAAAGGACCTCCTTGTTTTTTTCCCCCCACTTCAATAACCGCCAGCCATGATAGTATTGTAGTACCTCCGACTCATCTCTGCTGTTTGCATGATGCGCGCGTCGCCGGTGAGAGGTAGGTTGAGCACAGAGGGCAACTCGATCGCCTGTTGTTCGTCAGTTATTTGAATCAGGGACAGCAGGAGCGTTGAGACAGATGCGGTACTTACGCTGACGTCCTCGTGTGCAGTCCAACCGGCTACGGCTCGGCTCATTTCCTTGAAGGCGACTCTTGCCTCCAACCCTTCCACTCCAGACCCCTTGCCAATCGTCTCACCCATCCTCACAAGTGCATTCACCAAGCGGCTCAACCGACTTGGATCACGCTTTCCATTCTTGGCAGTGACAAGGCGCAGGAAATCGTCGTAGATCCCACCGCCGCTCGCCCAGCCTTGGACCTTGCGTTCCGGTCCCTCTCCAAAGCCGGAGATTAATGCCTCCAGAGTGGCGTAGTCCCGTTCAATAACCGCAGTTGGACCCACGACGCGGCAGAAAGTGGAGTGTGCATCATTCCAGTTCTTGCCACGGATCAGACAATCCACCTCTCCGGCGGCATCGCCGCTATCACGAGCAAACAAAGCCTTCGCACCCCACATCCAGGCCTCGGGAAGCTGCAATTCTGTGGTGAGATACTGCCAGGTGGCATCTGGTGCCCCCTCCGCAGTCACTGGGTCGGGTAAGGAGGATGCGAAGCGTGCCAACGTTTCCTTGACAGCACGTTCACGATCCGACGCTTGAGAGAGGTGGAGTAGAACAAACATTGCTTGCCCAAGCTCCCCACTAGAACTAAGCTCCCAAGCGTAGTCCCAGACCAATTGGTCAGCCCGCAACGAGTTGATCTTGAAACTGTCGTGTTGTCCGACAGCGGCCGTGAGTAGCTGATGCAGCTGGAACGGCAACCGGTTAGAGAGTTTGTCACCCGTGACAGACTCAGGAAGCAGGGCAGCCGGGAATTCAAGTGCTGGTAAATCAGACCTCTTGGTAGCAGCAGTAGTACCCGAGTAGACCTTCAGTAGGACCCAGAGAGGAGATTCCCGACCAAGAGTGTCCGATGTGGCATGCAACATAGCATCTCCCTCCAAGCGGGATGCAGGGTAAGGAAAGGCAGGTTCATCCCCGCTCCTCAACTCTTTGGCAAATTTCAGAACGGCATTTTCGATAGGCTCGTCATCGGCAATACCGTACCACAAACGAAGACCAAAGGCTTGGAACCAGTCCAGCTCGAATCGCTCTGTGAAGGTGAATGTAGACGCACGATCCTCCAAAGCGCCTCCGGACTTGCCCTCGCTGCGGAGTGAGTTACCAGCTAGAAGCTCGTACAGAGCTCGGATCGGTTCGGTCATCTCGGAATAGACGTTGTGCTGGCGCCACATCTCGATCTGTCTCGCCATGTCTGATCTAGTGGTGGCATCTCGACCAATTTGCGAGACCAGTGTAGCCAGATGAAGATTTTGGCTCGCAATCAGAACTTTGCACGCCTCTTCGACTCGGTGAGAACACAGAAGGTGGACAGCCCGTTCCTCAGAAGATTCAATTTTATCCAGGTCATGGACGTGTCTCTCGCGCACAAT